AAGAAGCTTTGTTGACTCAAAGCAAGAAAAGTGTTTCAACGTGCTTCTTTTTTTGTTACTGACGGCGAATCAGTAAATACTGGGGAGAAAAATGGTCTTTGGGCTTTGATTGATCGTGATTTCAAGTTTTCAACCTTCCTTTGGGCGAGGAAGTACCAACACCGATGATTAAAATTTGGTGCGCTGCTCACCGTTCGCAGCTGGCTTGGAAATCTGTCACCAATTCAATTCAGGAAGTAAGCCGCCATTTAATTCAGCAGCTTTCAAACATATCGACATTTTTCCATGCATCTGGAATCCGGACATCCACGTGAACTTACTGATGCTGCAAATGCCGAGGGCTGCTGCGTGTTATCATTACCTCGTGTCTTCGAAGAGCGTTGGACAGAATTCACATCGTCGTTAATAAAAGTGGTCTTAAGATCTTGGCATGCTCTTGTTGCCTATTTCAAAAATAGAGATGAGAAGGAAGCTGCAGGTTTCATGTGTTTTTTAACCAGGAAATCCAATCTTGACCTGCTGACCTTCATTGCAAATTTGCTTGCTGCATTTTCACGATACCAGCAACAACTACAATCGGACTCCATGCCACAACATTAATTGACATGGACAGATACACATCTAAGGTGAAGGTAAAGGTGTTAGGATTAAAAGAAACGGCTCTCCTCGGTGGATGGGTTGAAGCTCTAAGCGAGCAAGTTTTGGAGGAAGAAGATGGAACCATGTCTTTAAAGGGAGTTAAATTAAACAGTGGAAATGCAAGGCGTCGACACATCCACCATCTTTATGTCACTGACACAAGGAACATTGATGCAATCAAGAATGAAATCATCGAGTCTCTGAAAGAATTTTTGACCCAAAGGTAAATTTGCAGCAATCAGCTGATTTGAAGGAGGTCCACAAGCAATTCTTCGAAGATCTAGACTTAATGGAACTTGGAATGGAGTTTGATGATGTTCTTGGCATGGAAGATATAGAGGATTTCAGAAAGCTATCACTTAGAGAACGATTCCAAAGGTTTGTCCAGTCCGATCAGTTGCCTAACCTCAAAATTGCATTTGCAAGGATCCTTGCAGCCAAGCCACATAGCGCAGACGTAGAACGTCTGATTAGCTGCAGTGTGGCACTGACGTCCTCTGGTCGTTCTCGAATGCTCCTTGATACCGAAAACCTCAATTTGTATGTGCATTAAAACATGCCGCCGTTGGATCAGTGGGATCCTAAACCAGCCGTGATGAGTTGGATGAACGAAAGAGCGCATCGCACCCGAGATTGTCCAAAAGGAAAGCAGCAGCAATATTTCAAGGGAATCTTTTCGGAAGCTTCGAAAACCGAAGAGAAGTTGGCAGACTGTGAAGAGGAACCAGCAAAGAAAAAAAGAAAACATTTTAGTTATTGTTAAACCAAATTTGCTATAGAACTGAAATAAATATTCTGGCATACTGCTTTTGTATTGAAGTTGTGCGTATCCATTTATATTTTAATTCGATTACTTTAAATTAATGATTCTACAATAAATATCCATATCCTGAAAGTTCGTATTTTTTTCAACTGCACAAATTTTTTTTTAGAGTTGCACAAATTCAGAACTTCACATTTTGTGTAGAACTGGACGTTAAAATAAACCCTGCGTGCTGTATTAAAAGGAAAAACGCGAAAGAGTTACATGACACAAGACATACAATGAATTCAAACTGACTTTTATTAACACGCTATTTCTGTGTCTTGTGAATGTTTCCTTCATGGTCGCAGGAATATTTCTGAATACTGTGGTTATATTCAGTCTAAGGAGGTCGTCACAGCTTCGAAAGAAACTATGCCACTTTATGATTTTTGTTTTATCTTGTTTTGATCTGGCTGTAGTTACAATCACTCATCCTGTGATAATATTATCAACAATATTCTGATCTAACGTAGGTTGTAGTGAACTCCTTGAACAGATAAGGTATAACATATTTGGTAATCTATATGTGTTCTCCATGACAGCGCTCTTGACTCTAAACATTGAAAGACTCGTGGGCTTAACATTTCCAATTTTCCATCGAACACCAGTCACTAAGAAAAGGCTTCTAATTCTTCAAGCATTTTCGACGATTTTGGTATCCGGCCTGTACACATCGTCGGAAGTCATTAATCTAGAAACACTGGCGTACATTTCGGTAGTAGTTGGGTTATAAACAGGTTGGAAATTTGTCGTCGCTGACCAAAAAATCGCGGGCAGAAACAAAGCTCCATTGCATTTGCATTCAAAACAAAGCTGAAAGTTAGCAAGAGGCTGTTTTAGCTGATGATTTTTTGCTTTCCATTCAACGATTTACAAATTAACGGTTATTCTTTTAAAAATCGATCATGAATTCTTTGTTTTGGGATTTTTTTTGTAATCGAGTGATTGGAAGAAGTGAATATGGCGACGTGAACATGGGAGAAAATACCGTATACGTCGAGCTATGGTTTGCTTAAAACCGTAATAAACGAAGAAAAACGTGATATGAGAATGAAATGTAAGTTGAAATTTATTTTATATGCCTCAAATTTTCCATCTTATGTTTCTTAATGTAACTTCAGTGGTCTATGTTCAAAATACAAGCTCGCGAAATTTGACAAATTTTGAAAATATGTAAAAATAGCTTGACTTTGAACTGTATTTTCTTAAAAGTAGCCCGTGGCCTCAAATTCAAATATAGTTACATGAAAAGAAAAACCTTTTCGGCATTTGTAGGTGTCAAACATATCGTTTGGAAATTAGGGGCTCACAATGTTTTAGCTAAGTCTTTGAGACCCAGTTGCTTCGCACGTGTTGTGGTCAAATTTTTGCCAAGAATCCAAGGCCGAAAGGTGAACTTCCTTCATGAAAACCGCCTCGAGAAGGGTCTAGTTTGAAAGTTTAGCTCTTAATTTCCATTTCATGAGCATATTTTGGTTACACGTTAAATATTTCTGTACTTGACGAGACTCAAAATTTGTTGTATATTCAAGCCGGGCTTTACTCTTTACGACTTTAGTGTAATTTTGGTGATGACCGGAAAAGAAATAAATATATTTCAAAAACTGGCAGTGGCCTCACGATAAAACTTTCTAAAAATGTTCTCTGTTTCATGTATTTTTATTTGATATCTTAGGTATAAGCTTAAAAATAGGGGCTCATACAGTTTACGAGGTTATAAAATGCATGACTTGTCTCTATTTTCATGTAAACATTCGAAATGTTTCGACAGCAAAGTAGCAACTGTTTCAGATCGAATGCACACGGACTTTCACAACTGCAGTGTACAACGCTTCTTTTGATATAAGAAAGAAAATAGTACGCGGAGGAGTTCAAGCGAATTGAAAATTCTGCAAAGATAATTTGACTCCAACCACGTGTGTTTCGGATACATTTCGTTCATCTGGGTTTGATTCCGCGTAAGTAAGGTAGAAAGATTGAACGGAGTGGAGTGCAATCAGTGCGTACATTTTGAAAATCGATAACAAATGCACCACCCCTTTCATATTAGAAAGTATTTTGCATGCATATGTGTGGGTGCAATGTAAACCAAGGGTTGGACAAACCAAATATTGATTGGTAGATGTTTTAAAGGTTTTGAGTGATCTTGGTATTTCGAAGGCAGACAGACAATAGTTTTGAGTGCAAAACGGTTAGTGTTTGTTAAGATCAAATTTTTGTGTGATCCCTGTTGTGACGTGGCATGCATAACTCTGCCTCGTACTCAGGGGTCTCTTTGCAAAAAAACAGCGATGCGAATATGGCGAGTTTACATGAAGTATTGTAGTGGCGAGAGAAGGGCGAAGGGGTTGATAGGAAGAGTGCACTTGAAATGCTAGACGCCTGGGAGTTCTTGGTCGATTTCTTGCAACAAAGTACGATTTCTTGCAAGTTGTGATATTTCGTTCTCGTTTACGTTTTTTGCTACTTGTTTTTGTTGTTATTGACCAATGTTAAGAGCGTGTGTCTCTAAAAACCGCCCACTGACATGGGGCTCGAAAAATAAATTCCTTCGAAACTTTTACCGTGAACTACATTTACTTTAACAACAAGCAAATGCTGTTTGGAATTTTGAAAATATATTTAGTTTCAAAGTTTTAGCGATTTTTTGGTCTCGCACCGTCGCAGGACAAATTCGCCGGCTAATTAAACGAAAAAATGGGCTGAATTTAAATAAACATAATTTCAAAAGTTTTTGTTTAAAATTTCTGATATTCACACCCAGCACCGGAAAACTATCGTAATTTCATCTAAACTAACTTAGGTTTTCATTTACAGAGCATTTGTGACAATATTTAGCGACAAAGAGCGCCATCTCAAAATACGGCTTTCAAATTCTACTATTTTCTACGCTGAATTTCTTAAAAGTGGGACCTAATTACATACAGTGACTAGTATAGTTGGAAAAAGGACACTTTGAACTACTAAAAACCGTAATAAAACTCGTCTGCAAACGCGATTTGAACAATTGAGAGCGTTTGAAATTTGATACTATTTATGGCCTTTTGTTTACATTAGAATGTTGCTGAGGTCAGACGTCTGAGTTCATGTCACTGCTAAAAATGCGCTGTAGTTCTGCCAAATAACCTTTCCCTCAAATAAGTTTATAGCACTATTGTACTAATCTATATTTCTTTGTTTATGTCCACCGTAAGTGGTTCCAAGGGATTTAAAATAATAGGCATGTTAAAATAAACAACTTGACCAAATTAATATGCTACTCGGGGAAAAGCCCGCATGCAGCGCGAATTCTACAGTATATGTGGCACATGCTATATTTAGTGTGATTTAGAGTTTGCGTTGCAGCATACTAAAGTATTGCTTAGTTCGAAAAGTATAAATGTGCGAAGTTTAGTTCTGGAACCTTTCTGCGAAGTTGATATTTGAATTATATCTGTGTTCTTTTATCGATGTACTTTTAAAAATACTTTTTATTTATACCACATAATTCCATGATGTAATATAAGTGACTTATATCTAAACATTTACGTAATTCAACCAGAAGGCCTAGGTTCCATTTTCTAACTACTAATAAAACTCTCTATCTAGTATCTATAATCTATCTATCTAGAATAAAAGAAGTCTCGAGCGGTTTAACACATTATTTATGGTAATCTGCTATATGTTTCAGAAACTTTCGTTACAGTCCGCCAGTACTATTTCTAAAGGTATCATATTAATTAAAAATTAAATTCCAAGGAATACTCAAAGTGTGTTTAGAGGAATCCTATCTCACAAGATTCCTGGCCATGTCACTAAGAACACTGCTCAAACCTTCACTTTCTATAACATTCATTAACAGAGACAAATTTTCCTCCTCATCATTGACTTCGGGATTTTCCATAACATCCATAGCACCTTGGATGCCTGCCAATTGCTCCATTATTATGCCATCAGTTGGAATATTCTGCTGTTTACTTGTACTGTGAATACCACCAGTTAACTCGACATGGTTAACTTCCCTGTTGTTCTCCAGAGCGGTTGCATTACGCGGGGAACTCGTGGGATCATTTGGAACAGTCGACTGACTTTCTTTTGCTCTGTGAACATTTGTGCACTTCGCCGACTGGGAACTACTGCACGATGAGGAAAAGAAAACACAAAAATAATTTATAAATTCTGTGATGAATGTAAATACAGTAAATCAGGTTTATGATAGAGATTATAAGAGTAGAGTAGGTACGATGCTTGTGATGTTACTCTGAGTGTATATCCACACCGCGCAAGCTTGAAAAATATGCCTGACCACGGTGGGAATCGAACCTACAACCTTTGGAACACTAGCCCAATGCCCTGCCAACTGAGCTACGTGGAGCTGGGATAGTATTCCAAAGGTCGTAGGTTCGATTCCCACCGTGTTCAGGCATATTTTTCAAGCTTGCCCGGTGTGGATATACACTCAGAGAAACATCACAAGCATCATATTCACCTGACTACATTACACCAACACAGAAAAATCATGATTATTATTAGATAACATTGATATTGCAGGAACTAGATTCTGTTCCGAAATATCACATACTCGAACAGACCAGACCGCGTAGCTCAGTTGGCAGAGCATATTGGACTAGTATTCCAAAGGTCGTAGGTTCGATTCCCACGGTGGTCAGGCATATTTTTCAAGCTTGCCCGGTGTGGATATACATTCAGAGTAACATCACAACATCATATTCACCTGAGTACATTACACCAACACAGAAGAATCATGAAGAGTAGGTATTGTGGGAAAATTTCAGGCAAACGAAAGGGATAAATTGAAGCTTGCAAATAGCGGCAAATTTGAGTTATACCCGGGCGTAAAACCAAGAAATTATTATTTTTTATTTTTTGGCTATAATACCAAGTATTCAATCCTGGTGTTATCAACCATCTTGACTGTTTTACATTTATTTGTGGCGAAAAAAATTGACGAATTTCCGTTTTATATCGTGTAAAAGGGTAAAAATTTAGATGTGCCGAAGTCACGAAGAAAACATTAATCTTTAAATCTAGCTGGCATACTTATAAAATAGGGTTAGCTAGCATTTTAGGAAATGCAGGAATAGAGTAGGAAAAATATAGGACAAAAGTAGGACAAAAGTTGGAACCAGAAACAGTACTAACATGCGGTGGCCTTCAAATAAAACTTTTCGCCTCCAAGTAAAGTTTATATTTAGTATGCCTATATTCCCTTGTACGTACTCTCAAGATCAAGAGAAAAAAGAGATGAATCCGTTGGGATACGGATCATCATCTCTGTGTGAAGTTTGAGTCAAATTTTGACTTTGACCCATCATTTAACTTTTTCAAGAGGAAGTGCATGAGTTTCCAAAGGAGGTGGAACAAATCTCAGGGGAGGTGCCCCCACAGCAGCATCGCGCAAAATTCGGCCAACACTATAGGATATATGAAGTCTACCTATACCCCCCCCCAACAAACTAATTAAACTTACATTCTCAATTGCTGTCCCACATTCTTAGCTTCTTCAGCTATCACCACACCAATATCACTAGGGACGTTAATCTGTAGCGAGTCTTCAGGTTTACTGTTGCTTGTATTTAAACCACGTTTCCTCTGGGATTTTGCTGTAAAATATACATAACGATGTCTGAAACAATAAGAAGTCGAACAGAAAATATATCTATACTTGCGGCTTGAAAATTGTATCTACAAGAGACAAGCGCAAGCCGCTGATAAAGTTTTGGTATAACTCGGGTAGAGATTGAAGATATAGATAGATAGATAGATAGATCAACTTTATTTAGGCACACTAATCTCATTCAACACTAAGCTGATTTCCATGAGAGGTGTGCTGGCTAACTGTTACAATTTTAAGACTAATTTATTAATACATACAAACTATTATTATATAAATGCTATTAAATACTCGCTCAACTATAAACTACTTACAAAACGAGTTGTAAGATATCGAATTTCGTATATTTTCTGGTATTCTATTTCATAATTTAGCCCCATTGTAACTGAAACTATTTAAAAAAAATTCTGTCCTGGGCCTTGGAATAAAAAGCCCAGTTGAAGAACCTCTTAGATTATAACTATTAACAGTGTTGGAAAATTGGAAAATGTTACAGTCTTTGTGGAGCTAATTGATTTACTGTTTTGTACATGAGTTTGGCCTTCATTAATGCTCTACGTTCTTCAAGAGATGTCCATGCTATTAATCTTAGGGCGTGATCCAATCAAAATATATTCCGTTTTCGCAATATTTAAGCTAAGTTTGTTTGAAGACAACCACACTTTAACATTTTTCAAGTCCTTATTCGCTATCTTTTCTGCTTCATTTAATGTTTTGCCCACAGCTGTAAGGCTGGTATCATCTGCAAACATCCTTGGTGTTGTACGTTTAAGACAATTTGACAAATCATTTATATAGATAATAAACAGAAGAGGGCCAAGTATACTTCCTTGAGGGATGCCGCAAGTTATTCCTCTCTGATCTGAAAGCATTCCATTTAGCTGACATCTCTGTGTTCGATTTGTTAAGTAATTACTTAGTAAATCTAGGGCTTTATTACCAAAGCTATACTGTTCGAAATACGTAAAAGAATTTCATGGTTGACAGTATCGAAGGATTTCTTTAAATCGAGAAGAACAACTATGTTGTATAGGCCACGGTCCATGTTAATATACCATTCATTGGTACAATCTAAAAGTGTGGTAGTTGTGGAATGAAATTGTCTAAAACCAAACTGATGTTCTGAAAGAATATTCTGTTTCTTTAAATAATCATACATTTGGTCGTACAGAATCCTTTCCATCAGTTTGCTGACCACAGGTAAAATTGAGATTGGTCTATAGTTGTCTAACATAGTCCGTTGGCCTTTTTAAAAAATTGGAGTTACTCGTGCTACTTTCCACCCCATCGGGAATCTGTCAGTGGCAATAAACATATTAAAAATCCTTGTTAAAGGCTCTGCAATAGCAGCAGCTGCAGCCTTTAGCACTTTAGCTGAAATTTCGTCAATACCTGTAGCTTTGGAGATAGTTAATTTGGTTATAAGCCTACAACCTAACCGCAAATCTCGCGCTGGTGGAGTTCTACTCGCTGTTAATTCGTGCTCTTTTTCAACATCTCGCGAAATCAATTTTGACACCGATCTAGAACTGGTCACGGTTGAGCTAACTTCGAAGTCGAACTCGAAATATCTGTTATGCTGCTGTTATAAGTTCCAACAAAATGTGAACAGTCAATGGCTGGGAAAATTTAACATTTTCCTCTACAAGTCTTGTTCCCAATATTCGAACATGCTTGTATGCGGCGATTTTAATTTCCCGAAGATCTCCTGGAAATCTCTGGAACTAACAACAGGTGTTGATGAAGTCCAATTCACTGAACAATTGTATGATTACCACATAACGCAGCTGAATACATTTCCGACACGAGGGAATAATGTACTTGATCTTGTCATTACCAATGTTCCTAGTCAAGTAGAGAATGTATCGGTACTTACCTCAGCTGAAAGTGGATTAATAACTGACCACTCCAGAATTGTTTTCAATCGGAAAACATCCGTCAAAGCAGCTCCCAAACTTAAACGTCGAGTTTTTGACTACAAAAGAGGGAACTTTGATGGACTAAGGGCTGCACTGGAAGCACTTGATTTATGTTCTGTGATTGAGTCGGAAGTGAATGTCCAAGAAGGATGGATGAAATGGAAAGAGCTATTTCTTAAAGCAGCATATGATAGACAGATAGATTGTTTAATAATTCACTTTTTGCAGTACAAATACTAGCCTGCTCACAGACGTTGTAGTTCTTACGTCAAGCGACGAAATACTACCGTCTGCTTACCCGAGCGCCAAACTGAATTCCGCTACGTCGACCAATCAGAATTTACCTTCCAAATTCTGGAAAGTGACGTCAGTTGATTTAGGAGCGGAATAAATATAATATATATTTTGAAAGCAGTCGTTCGTTGAATTTTGTTCAAAATTGCACATAAATTGAATTTAAAGATACTGATACTTGTCCAGGTAATAAAATGCACCATTAATGATCAGATTTGGATATTAAAGATGTTCGGTTATATTTAAAACGCGGACAGGATTGGCATATTTATACTGTAGGAATCTTAGCCAGACAGCATCAAATGCCGAATATATTTCGCTGAAATTTTAACGGTTTATCTTTATAAGACAACAGAACTCGGAAGACAGAAAATTTTACATAATACTGTGGCTTAGAAAGCGAAATATTAGCTACAAAGTAAACTAATTTGCTGTTTGAGCAACCACTTCTGAATGTAAACTGTAAACAAAACACAAACCCGAGAAACTTGTATAAAAATTGCGCCGTGATGAATTTTCCAATTCGCCCAAACTTCGAAACGTTTATACTCTAACTTGGCTATACTTTTCTACATGACAATGAGAGCTTGATCTTTTAGAAGTTTTCGTCGAAGTCATGGCATATAGGAAGTATCAAGAGCAACATTTGGACATATCCTGATATACTCGAGTTTCCCGATTGATTGTTTGTCATTGTTTACAAAAATTTAAATTTCGCCTACTACACTGCTTTAGCATTTTATATACACCGATTGTTTGCTGAACATGCGAGAAGATGATCACAATATTATTCTACGTAAACATCGTGAAGTTCAACGCTATAGTTTCCAAAATATATCCACGCAAGTAAACAAATTTCAAGTTTCAACCCAAACAATATATTCCAATGCATGTGCAAGGGGTTTCCCCAGTAGCTAATCTGTCAATAAGGCGGCTTCCAATTGGCTCTAACGTTTCTGAACACTGCCAGATGATTGGCTCCTAAAACAAAGGGAATTGAATATGCAGCTCGGGTAAGCAGACGGTAGTATTTCGTCGCTTGGCGTATGAACTACAACGTCTGCACTGTTAATTTCAAGGAGTTATTTTAACTCCACCATAGGAGTTAAAACTACTCAACTCGGGAGAGTAAAAATAGTGGAGTAAAATCTACTCCCAAAATAGAGTTAAAACTACTCCACTTCGGCGCGCATTCTACAATTTACTCCATCAGGAGTCAATTTTACTCCGCTGGAGGAGTAAACTAAACTCGCGTTTAGGAGTAGAAATTATGGAGTAATTTGTACTCCTTAATTTTACTCCAGGGGTCGTTTCAACTCCCAAAAAAGAGTAAAATTGTTCTGGATCTGGAGTAAATTATTACAATATATAATTAATGTGCCTGAGAATCCAAGAGTTTTTCTGCTTGAGGCTATACTCTATTAAAGTATTGAATACAGTCAGATGCGAAAAGCGCGAAGTTCGAGATATAAAGGTTTTTTTTAATTTTACGTTTTTGGTTACTCGAATGTTGCCAAGTCAGATTGATGCCATTGATGTATTATACCGTATATCGGCTTCAATCGCACGCGCCGATCGAATGTAGCCAGAAATTGTCGGCGAGTCATCTATATTTTTTATTTGCTGGCCTAAATCTGTAATTTGAACGTGTGGAATGTTCTGCTGCTGAATTCTGCTGAATATAATTTTCGACAAGTGGAAGTTGCAGAGTTTTAACCAATTAGCATGCTTAGAATATATCACGTGTTGTAGTAATTCGATCTGGTTCACACAAAGACCAAGCGCCAAGTTCAGTCCTTCGAGAGCAAACATTCAAAGGGGAATGATATTTATTCAAATTTTCTACTTATAAAGTTCCAAAGACCTAATAAGATACATGGAATTTGTTTTCAAAGGTATGTTTATTGTGTATTTACTTATTTGTGTGCGGAAAGTTACTTGATATACTGCATAGTTATATTTTTAAATCGAAGACGAAGGCCTGTATTTTAGTCGCTTCGCCGCTGATTTGCCGGTGTAGACGTTCAGTTAAAAATATTCGATTAATTTGTATTAGCAGAAGTCCATAAGTCTAATCTACAGTCTCTACTTATATGTGTTGTTAGCCCCGTTTACACGAGTAAATTTTATTTGACAAATTTAATTTCATCAAAAGCATTTGTTGTTCAAATGCATTTGTCACAAATTTATCATCTACACGAACAAAATATCTCTGACATATGAAATTTGTCAAATAAAATTTACTCGTGTAAACGGGGCTTTATTTGTGTAATATACATGTATGTTGTATTTCGTGTTAAATAATAATGTATACTTTAATATATAGCCTATGACTTATGTGATCTGTTTGAAATGCAGTCACATTTGACAGCATTGCAATAGCCCATCTAATGTTACCCAGTGTATGGCATGTGCTTGCTATGGTAGCCCTCCTATCGGCTATCAGTCAGCCTAAAACACATGTAAGGGGCTGCTTATATAGAGGCGAGCCACCCAGGTAACCTGCCTATAGCTCGCTTTCCCTGGATGAATGTCTGGTTACATGAGCCTCTTTAGATGGGCAGGCTTGCCAAAACAAATCACCCAGACTGAGTTATATAGTAGAAGCACATTCCCCAATTAAGTGAACCAACAAGTGATCAATCACTCATACTTTTGCAGACAGTCTCGAAATGTATAAACTGACAAAAACAATCACAGAGATCTTTTTACCCAGGGCCCAGGGGTAATACTGTGCCAAATCGTTGGTGATTGTATATAATTTATATGGAAAATCCTAGCTTGGCATCAGCAAGATTTTGGGACAATGAATTTTGGGTCAATTATGCACCTCTATTTTAAACACCCTTTACCAGAAAAGTTGTATTCATTTGGATGATGTTAGTCTAATTGCATGCTTACATTAAATGAGTAAAAGCATTTGAATTTTGTATTTCTTGCTTTGTATATGCAAACAACCAAAAATAGCAAATGTATTGTCAATCAATCAATAATTTTTATTTTGTGTGTGTTGATGTTATGTATTCAGGTGAATATATTATGTTTGTGATGTCACTGTGGGTGTGCACCCACACCGGGCAAGCTGAAAAGTTAGCTTGGCCACAGTGGGAATCAAACCTGTGACCGTGGCCAAGCTAACTTTTCAGCTTGCCCAGTGTGGATGCACACTCAGTGAGAGTAACATCACAAACATCATATATTCATCTGAGTACATGACACCAACACACACAAACTAATCGTAACATTGAATACCCCTGTACACTGATATCGAAGGAACTAGACTCGTTGGAACTAGTTGCAAAATATCATCAACTCGAACAGACTTGACCATGTAGCTCAGTTGACAGAGCATTGGACTAGTATCCCAAAGGCCGCAGGTTCGATTCCCACCATGGCCAAACTAACTTTTCAGCTTACCCGGTGTGGATGCACACTCAGAGTAACATCACAAACATCAATCAATAATTTGCTGCTGTTATATGTCAACCTTATATATTGTTTTCTTACTAGGGATTGTCATTAATATATGGATTCAACAAAAGCTTCCCAGGAGAAGGCAAGTTGTCTAAACAAGTTGTCTAAACAAGTGGTTGACCATGTAGCTCAGTTGACAGAGCATTGGACTAGCATCCCAAAGGCCGCAGGTTCGATTCCCACCATGGCCAAACTAACTTTTCAGCTTGCCCGGTGTGGATGCACACTTAGAGTAACATCACAAACATCAATCAATAATTTGCTGCTGTTATATGTCACCCTTATATATTGTTTTCTTACTAGGGATTGTCATTAATATATGGATTCAACAAAAGCTTCCCAGGAGAAGGCAAGTTGTCTAAACAAGTGGTATTATATGTAATCATTAATGGCATTCTAAGAACTTTATGGTCTATTTGGAATATGTTATTCTTTTGCTGGAGAGAATTTTTGTGAATTAGCAAACCATGCAAGGGATGGAGTTGCCGACTTGTGGTATACAGCTTGTTTTGTACTAAATTTTTACTAATGGACTTGCTTGACATGTTTGATTGAGCAGGGACACTACATACATTTAATACATGCAGTATATTTTACTTGTAAATATTCTACATTGAACAGAATATTAACCCTTTAAGTGGCAATTTGCTTTACTTTTTCTGTCTAATGTGGTCAGACAATTTTTGCTCATTAAGGAGAGAGTGCTACCACTTAATGGGTTAAAGCTTTTCTGTAAATGTAAATTTTTTGAACGATAACTATGTAATAGCCGGTACTGTGCTGGGAATGGAATCTGCTGCCCTGTGATTCTGATCAGCTTTTTAACCGTCAATGGTCCTCAAGCCCTAAGAGTCCATCGCCCTGAGAGTCAATCAAGCTCTACTGTAACCAAGAGTTTGTGTACATAATACTAGTGTCATCCTGCCAGTTTATTTAATACACTACCAATGACACCACCATGGTATATATACAGCAACTTGTGGTTACCTCTTGGCAAAAGGGCTCTTTAGGTCAGAGGGCTGTGGTAGAATTGCAGTGCTGCAGGTTCAATTCATGCTGACAGGCTTGTAATTGTATTCCACATGTATTCATGATATCATTCTAATGAAAATTTCATTTTAGAACTGCATTAAATATTATAGGGCGTAAGAGTATATCATTATATTATGCTACAGCAAATTGTATTTCCTGCTATAATATACCTTACTTGTAGGGATAATAAATTATTTTGACTCGAAAAATGTCTTTATTGATTTCTAAAGTTAGTTAAAGACTTTTCTTTACTCCGATATATAGAAGTCATTTTGTCTCCAAAGGAGTCGAATTGACTCCAAAAGTGGAGTAAATAAAAAAGGTACAGAACGACTCCTTTTTTGGAGTAAAATTTACTCCTTTATTTACTCCATTTTTGGTGTAAATTTTACTCCTTAAGTAGAGTTGTTTTTACTCTTTGAGGAGTAAAAACAACTCTACTTATGGAGTAAAATTTACTCCAAAAATGGAGTAAATAAAGGAGTAAAATTTACTCCAAAAAAGGAGTCGTTCTGTACCTTTTTTATTTACTCCACTTTTGGAGTCAATTTGACTCCTCGAAATTAACAGTGTATAAACCAATCACAATCGTGTTTCTATCACACGTTTTTCTCGAGCTTTGAGCTCAATGAGCTGTATAATACATGGAGAGCGCAAATATAGATACAGAAATTGAAGTCGGAAGTCGCGCGCGGCCGCCATCTTACTGTGACCACCTTGAGGAGTGAGCTATTGTGATTAATACGGTATTTTCAACTGTTTTGTTCTGTTATCTCGCAATAGAGGAACAAATCAAGTCAATTATAGTATTTTAAGCAAAAGCACATGTTCAAGAATGTTGGGGACCTCTTTTACATTCAAATGAACTCAATCGTAAAGAAACGTGTCTATATTTTTGACGACGTTTCTGAGGGCGACTGAGATAAATCATGAATACAGTCGTGACAACACCTTTCAAATGGGAATTTCTGATGGAGATCGGTGAATTATACCATAAGTTAACACATGAGAAATTGGTCATGAACTTTATTGTTTTGGAAATGGTGAATTTTAATATGGACAAGATCATAATATAAACATATCACCTCGTATTTGTTTCTATCAACGCAAACAAATTATGTCGCTTGTAGGATTTGTTAATCGAACAAACGATTCAGAATGGTCGAAAAAATAGCAGGTGCGTTGTAGTGACCTTATTTTAATATGTTAATGTGGGTGCTTTAACGCAATGCCTTAATTGTAAGAATATATACCATCCCATCCCTGCTTGTAAATATAATATACCATCCCATCCCTGATTCACGTTATCCACCTCTTATTGTTAAGAAATTAGAAGCTTACAATTTTTCGGAGAGTTCGTTAAAATTACTACGATCGTACTTCAACAGTAGAATGAATCGTGTCAAAATTGGGTCAGTAACAAGTACGTGGAAACCTTTAGAGAGGGGATGTCCTCAGGGTTCAAATTTCGGTCCGTTGTTATGGAATATTTTTCAAAACGATCTTAATTATACCATATGTGGTTCTGAGTTATCTATGTATGCGGACGACCACCAATTATATGGAAGTGGAAGCACTGTTAAAGAGGTAGAAGCGAAATTGGAAAACGATGTTAATATTACAAACCAGGTGGTATGAAGAAAATTTCTTACGTTTAAATTTAGAAAAGTTTCACACGATGGTTCTTGGTCGAAAGAATGAGGATGATAGAACAATGAATATTAACATAAATGATAAATGTATTGAACAGTCTACATCATTAAAGTTACTTGGAGTAGATGTGGACGACCAACTTGATTTTAGATGTCATATTAGCGAAATATGCAAAAGAACAAGCAGAAAAGTTGGAGTGTTGATGCGTCTAAGAAATCGTATTTCTGAAGAGGCAAAATTAATCATCTACAAGACAGTTGTATTACCGCATCTGACATATTGCCATTTAGTATGGCATTTTTGTCGGGCATCGGATAGGCGCAAGTTGGAAAGAGTACAAGAGCGGGCCTTGCGTGCAGTTTTTAACTCCAAAACACTTACGTATGAAGAACTACTCGCAAAAGCAAATCTTTCCACGCTATATCACAGACGGGTACAAGATATTGCCATACTAATGTTTAAAATTAAAAATAATCTTGCTCCCTCATATATTCAGAATTTATTTTGTACTAATGATAAGACTAGGACATATAATCTAAGAAATTCTGATTTCAGAATACCGCTCAATTAGATACTTAGGACCTTTTTTATGGTCAAAGCTAAGTAAAGAAGTTAGGAATATCAGTACTTTGAACGTTTTTAAGAGTGAAATTAGGAAAGTTGATCGACTTTAGTTTTTTAGAGGATGGTGGTTGTAGAAACTGCTATCTATGCAGTAATTAGGGATTAGTATTAGTATTGTAAATTTATCTACTCATAGCTAGACGTATAAGTATACTTTTTGTATAACAGTAGGCTTAATCTGTGTCCCCAATTAGCGTGCTAAACGCTAGAATGATTTGACACATTAATAAAGTTTCTTATCTTATCTTATCTTGTGTAATATGTTCCTTATTAATTTAAAGTCATAGTCATGATTAATTAACACTCTTCTGAGTGACCCCAACGGTGTTGTAATATTTCAAAGAGGCAGATTAAAATTAACAAGACGCCGACTCGGCGTTAACCTCGGGTCGGGGATAGGGAATCGTCTTGTAAATATGCAAAAATTGTATAAATCACGATAGTTTAATAGTTCACTAGTATAAATGGTGAATCAGTTAATCAAAGCTCCGTTTTAATATTTTATTGACAATAATTACTGGCCCTCATCAAACCTATTGTTTTCTCTCTGCATTATATCAGCGAAAGTCGAGAAGTTTTCATTTAACGTTCTACTGAAAAACGGGAGCGGCCTTTTTGGTTGTATAGGGAAATTCCGGCTCAGGGGTAAATGTTTATATGCGTCATATTCTATGTACGCGTTAAAATAGCACACAACATTATTAAAAATAGTGCAGCGTGCATCAGTGCACACAGACATTATTAGCAATAATGCATCTTCGTCACCCTGACATGTACACGCGATAACGTGAACATCCCAAGATGAGAAGGTGACAGTGCTAAAGGCCCCCCATACGGTGTCGTCGGGTGCCTGAAGCACTGTTGGAAACGGTCGCTGTGAGTCTTTTCAGTTCAATTTTATAGAGAAATAGTTTCGTTTGCGCTTGTGGGATTTTATCCTAGATATACGCATGTGCAGAATACACCATAAGTTATATTCCCGTGTTTATCCAATACGCTATTTGAGTAAACCTTATCATTAATGATAATATGTAAACTAGAACACTATAATTGACCTCCGCTTGTGGAGATTTTAATTTAGGGCGATTAATTAAACTGAAATCTGTTCTATCACAATGCACTACAGTGCCTATGGTTATGTCTATATGCGCATGTCCTCACAAATGTCTAGTGTAACGTTGGATAGGTTCATTGTCATACGGTCCCGACAAGCAGCAACGTACAGTAGTCTTCCAGCCGAAAATAATTACTTTTGATTCGGGTCAGTAATTATAATAGATAACAAGTGAAAGTTGGCCGCGGTATTCCCATGCTATGAATACGATGTATTGTACATTATATCAACATATACTCGAGAATAGTTGTCCAGCTAAACATGTATGTCAAAATTATCACAGCTTCTGGTTTTAAATCAACAATTCTGACGGATTTTGTGCAAGGACAGCTTCGGGTTCCGTTTCGCTTTGGCCGATGCTTGCCGGAAGTACACTTATTTCCCGGAAGTTGTCGTCTCCTCCGCAGGCCCTTCGATCTTCGACTACGCGCGCGGCTCGACACAAATGAAAAACAATAAAAAAAAAATAGGAGCCGAATTTAAGACCTCGGTGTCGTACCGACCCGAGGTAATAAATTTGAAAGAAATTGAAAGTTGTAAAATAATGGTCGCATTTCTGTGCTGTTTAGATCCTATAGAGACAGCATAAAGTGAAGATGGAACAATGCTGCAAACAGTTACTTTCAGTTGCATGTCTACATATGCATTATATTGCATTGTGTAAAAACAATTTAATTGTAAAGGGTCTCTAGTATTATAGGATCTGTGTAAAATTCCAGTAGTTTCTTGCCAAATACTGATTTAGTGTGTTTTGCCAAATACAGTTTAACTGCCTCGTACGGGGTAACAGGCCCGTAGCTGAGGGGGGACCTGGGGGGGGGGCATTGCCCCCACTCGGTGGGGTAGTGCCCTCCAGTGCCCCTCCACTCGGAAATAAAATTGAAATTATTCCCCCTCCCCCTTACGTTTTGCAAAACTAATAGCTGTTAATGTTGGGGTTTTTTGGGCTAAGTACCGAAATTTGGTATGAAAAATTGAGATAAAGGACCTGGAAACCAATTGCGATCATGGGATAAATTCTGTAAATTTTGTGGTTAAGTGATGTTTCGAAAATTTTTGTTAGGTTTCGGAAAAATTTGGTTTGTCCTGAAAAAATTTTTGACCCCTAAAATGGTACACTGACCGAAATAAATTCCGGAAAATTTTTTTTCTCATCTCAAACCCTCTGTTAGATTCTCGCTGCAGTGCCCCCAGAAATTGAGAGCCAGCTACGGGCTTGTGTAAAAATGGTTGCAACAAAAATGCTGGTTGAAATCAAGCCTTCAAAAGCATTTAAACCCACATTTATATTTGCTCTATCTAGTGCCAGGTGATTTTACTCATTATTTAATTACTGTAATACTGCAAGTGAACTGTTTAATCTCTCTGTATACATGGTCATTACTCCACTGTTGTCACTGCTTTGTTTTTAGGGGGTGGGTGATTTTGAAAAAATATCCTGCAAGCCTATTCTGAACGAAAAAATTACCTGCACTAACAAACTGAGGGAAAAAATATCCTGCCCCATTATTTGGTGGGAAAAAAATGTTGCAAAACACCATGGTTGCAGGGATCGATATGACCAGTCACAGAAGATCAGCTGGTTTGATTTTCAGGCATGGAAAACTCCTCAAAGTGAGCTTCAAGAAATCCAAATCCATGGTCGACTCGGTTGTCTCAGAATCCTAGGTATGGCCTGATCTGATGCCCTATGGCACATACTTATTAGGCAAACTATGGATACATATGCTGCAGGTAGCTGCAGCAACACATACTTGCCGACTGGAACTTGTCCAGGTCCCCCGCTAAATATGTCCCTTCCAGTTACACATCTTTATAGGGCCGTAGCAACCAGGGAGGTTGCAACCCCAATAATTTGGTAATCATTTTCAAAATCATGCAGACCTTTATCATTTAATTCATGACAAACTGAAAAGGATGAAGATATTACCCATATTTTCCTGCAACTTATCCAATATAAAGTTGATTAAATATGCCTTCGTCCATTCAGTACTACTAAATTGTAAATTTCAACATATTAAAATGCTGGTTTCTGACCATCAGAATTCTATCAAATCTTCTATTACTGTAAAATGACTAAAGTAAATTGGAGCGGTAGCGTGGTGTTCACGTGAACCGCACCAACGCCGGAAGTGAACTTTGCACTTAACGATTGCATCAGACAATGAAATACAGATCGAACTGTTTAGGTTTATATTTAAGGGAAATAAAAAAATAATTAAAAATATACGGCTAACCAGAAACTAAGTTGGATGCACTAGTATCTAAGGAATATCGCCACAGAAGTAAGACATTTTCGAACAGTTTATTGACACATATAGACTAGTAATATTGGATTTAAGTTACGATATTTAAATATTATTTAATTACTTTATTCACTTTATACAGGGTGTCCCAAAAAAACGAAAACTATTAAAATCACTTATTGTTAAAATCGAATGCCCTACCAAAAAGCTGAACGTAATGATGCGTAAAATATTGACAAGGTGCATGTATTAAAATTTAGTTAAAAACATCTCCTTGTAAACTCTAGGTTTTCTGCTTTTGGGAATTTAAAGCAACTTCTTAAATAGTTTCTTTATACATAAAATTTACTTATGTCAATCATTTATGCACTCGTGGGAACCAACAGAGTGCTAAGGCATTCAAATTCTAACAATTAAATTGTTATTGGTGATTTCAATAGTTTTCGGTTTTTTTGGGACACCCTGTAGTGTATTTTAATGCAATTGTAATGGGTGTAGGTGTGTCAAGGCAGCAGTCAGTCTCATAAAATATACAATATAATGTTTATTAATCAATCTGTATTACGGAGGGGCAGAACATATAACAATGTTTATAGACAATGCACACGTGTGCGCCTTAAACATTGTTATTATCTTCAACATTTCTGGTAACTTGCTTTGTTGGTTCAAGACCTACTTGTTAGACCGTAGGCAAGGCGTTACTGTGCTAAGCGCCACCTCCTCTGAAAAACTTGTACTGTCAGGAGTACCACAGGGTTCAATATTAGGCCCTATACTTTTCCTCCTCTACGTGAACGACCTTCTAGATGCCGTTAAGAACTCCAAGGTTTCATCTTTCGCAGATGACACTAAGGTATTTAAGTGTATTGACTCCATCTCGGATGCAAGTTTGCTTCAGAGCGACCTGAATAGTCTGGGCAATTGGTCAACTAATTCCGGACTTGTATTTAATCAAGACAAGTGCAAGCTTCAGCTAATTATCAGGAAAAAGAACC